GATTTGAATTTGATCAAATCGAATCAAACATTGATTTGGATTTGATCAAATAAATCATTCTTTGATTTGAATTTGATTAAATCAAATATTCAAATATCAAATCGAATTGTGGAACCCTAATTAGTATTACCAAAGATCCAATCAGAAAGATATTAATATATCTGATATTCTTGTTCCAGATTCTATACCAATTAATTCAAACTCAATTAAAAATGTTTAAAAATTATAGAATATATTAAAGAAATCAGTGAGGTGAATAAAAATGGATTGCAATAGTTTACAATAGAATTCCTTACTGTTATACATAAAAATTTAAAAATGATTATCTAGAAATTCTTTTAATATCCAGTCCACTTTATGAAGAGATAAATATGTTGAAATCTTTTGTGGAATTGAATTAGCAAGTTATAATTAGTTCTAAACTGTTTTAAATTAATCTAATTCTATAATTTCATAATATAAAATTCAGGGCTATTGATTTATAATGTTTTGCATAATGTTAAAGGTATAAAACTAAAAGCCAATTAGGATATTTTAAAAAGTGTGCTAATTATCACAAAGTATAAGATTTAATTTGTATTTATCAGTACACAATAGTCATAGAATTAGTTTAGCCTTATATTGCTTCAGACTTTGGTCTTACTGTTACTGAATATCTCAATTGGATTAAGAATCAATAAGACAAGTTATATAAATTAAAATATGAATAAGTATATTAGTAATTAATAATTTAATAATTGCAAATATTCAAAAAAAACTAATACTTATTTTTTTTAGATCTTTTTATATTTGCAAGCTATTTTTGTGTTAAAGTTAGGCTTTATCAGTCCTTACTTAAATCAGTCACGCATAAAGCATTTGACCCTATTTGGTTTGCAAGATGACATCCTATTTATCAAGAAATTAAAGTGGTTGATGAAAAATAACTAATGCGTTTTCATTCTGAAATTTGGTAACTTATTAAATTAAATTCAATTATATTACAATCAGGATAGCTGAATCAGTATCAAGGATTAGATGCTGTATTTGATGAAATTAATAGAATGCTGAAAACACTTATTTCACCTATACCAACTCAGAAGCATTAGGAAATAGCAGCAAAAAATTGTATTAAATTTATGAAGGTAAAATAATAAATTTTAATACTATTTAATTGTAATACTTATTTTTTTTCATGGATCATTTTATTTCTTTATTGAAGTTGTGAAAGAAATTATTTACTATAATTGGATATGCAGATGCTAAAAATGCTGGTCCACAAATGCATTCAGATTTTGAAATAAAATCATAATGGTTTTGAGTCCAATTGAGAAAAGCTGACTTTTTAAATCTGTATAAAAATAATTGACATTTTAATGTTTAAACAGATATAACAAATTGAGTAAAAAAATAAAATCGTTTAGTATTATAGCTTAAGCTTAATATATAAATTATATCAAAGGAAAATTAAGTTCAAAGAAATAATTAGTTATCTGTTCTATTCTTATTACAATCAATGAAGCATAAATACAATCAGCAGAAAGTTCAATAAAGAAGAAAGAACTGATATTAATAATCGAATCATTAATCAAATCTTTAAATAAGATTAACTGGCCACAATTTCAAGGATTAAAATCAAAAAGAAAAGATAAGTTGTTAATTATTCTTCAAAAGGTTCAAGATTTAACTAATGGTAATATATGTAATAAAACAAATTAAAAAAAATCAAAGCTTCAAAATATGATTAATGAATATTTATAGAATCTTACTGAGCCTCTTCTCTAGACCAAGTTAAAAAATATATTTTACAAGTATAAAGATTATGGGTTTTTTGGTTAGGACTTTTGGTTAGTTATTTTTTTAAGAATTTTTAACAAATCTTTGCATAAAAATTTATCATTTTTATTATTAGATTATCATTACATTAGTACATTAGTACATGATATATAATTATTTATAGCTAATAAAATTCTATATTACTGAATATCATCAGATTTCTGAAAGTATAGATTATTACTATATTTGGAAATTCTATTTATGGAAAAACATCAGATTGTACTTAGAGTTTGATAAAAATCCTAATTGGTTCTAATTGATCTTAATTAATTTTAAAAAAAATTATTAGTTTTAAAGATTAAATTTTTTTAAATATTATCATTATATTCAATTTTTTAATTAAAATAAGTTTAAGTTTCTTTTTAAAATTTAAAATATCTTTAAAATTTTAGATCTAGGATCTAGGTCTAGGACCAGGTCCTAAATTAAGTATATTTATTATTTTTAAAGAATTTTTTATTTTAAATTAATAAAATAATTGTGATATATAATAATTATTAAAAAGATTAATTTATTATTAAAAAATTTAATTAATAGTATATAAATTAAAGTTATCTTTAAATTCTTTAAGACCAATTAGGACTTATTAGGACTTTACCAACCCTAATTGTACTAGATAAGATGATAATTATTTATATAACCACGTATTTGAACTGAGAGATCTGCATCATATCCTTAAAGATTTAGTCATCAGCACTTTTCAAGAAATCTTAGCCAAAGATCCTAATTTTTTCTTTACTGACCGGTTAACAGATTTCATCCCCATGTGATTTGGTTTATATGTCATTCATTATTTGTCACAAGGTTAATTTATTAATGCGGTCAAAGTCACGTGAAATGAAAAATCTTGGTTTAAGATAACATGCACGTGATATATTAACTACTGGATCAATCTATTTGATAGCAGAAAGTTGAATCCAATTTTTTCTTAAAAAAAATTAAAAAATGGTGAGGCATTCTAGGTCTAGAAGTCGTTCACGTTCTCCACAAAAGAAACGAAAACATTCTCATAGACGTAGTGGACGAGATCGAGATCGAGATCGTGATCGTGACCGAGATCGTGAACGTGATAAGGAGCGTCACAGAGATGATCGAGAACATAAACGATCTCGCCATTCTAGGAGTGAAGTTGATAGGGATGAGTCTCACGTCAGGTCTCATTCCACAAAGGAAACTGAAGATAAAAAAACCAAACACAATGTTACAACGGAATCTGGAATTTATACCTCGCAGGATCAAAAAAGTACAAAGTCATCAAGCTTCGTGTTGAATAATATTTCCGGAGAAGTAAAGGACAAACATAAGGAAAAACATAAGGACATTAACAAACAGGAAAGTGCTAACCGAGACTCGGATGTACAAATGCAAGCTGATTCAAAGGTAAATATGCATTTTTGTTAATATATTTTATATATATTTAATTTTATTATCAATGATATTTTATCGAAGAGTTTTTAATTATAATATATAGTTAGCTGATTCGACAACCTCTGCAACAGTTGCTGCTTTACTCGATAGTCAGGAAGAAAAAATTCGTCAAAGGAGAGAACGTGTAGAACAGTGGAGAAAAGAAAGGGAGGCTGCTAAAAAAGCTGAGGAGGAAGCAAAATTACAAGCAGTTTCGGCTGCTAGTCAATCTTCTACCGCTGATGATCAATCTCTACAAAATTCAAATAAAGGTTGGACTTTAGATGACGACGACGAAGATGAATCTATGGAAGTAGATGGTGCACCAGGTAATTTAAATTTTACTTTCAATTTCTTTGAATTTACCATTTTTTTTATTAAACGTAAATTTAACTTTATTTGTATTTAGAAACTGTGAATTTACTACCTATTCCAAAATCAACTGATAAAATAGAGTCTCAAGTGTATCAAGTTAGACGAAATCCATTGCTTGGACTTGGTAATAAAAAACATATAATGAATAATAAGGGTAAATCAAAAGAAGTAGTTGCCGAAGAAGAAGATAAATCTACAGTATCTTCTAAGGGATCAAATATTAAAGATTCAGATCAGATGCAAGTTGACGATGGAGACGAAGATCCTCTTGACGCTTTTATGAAAGATGTGGAGGTTGAGGTAGAACAATTAAATGAACAAGACAAAAAACGTGCAAAACAAGCAGCAAGAGGGAAAAATAAAATTGATAGATCTGATAAAATTATGCAAGATGAAGAGGAAATGGATGAAGAAGAAGTTATCAGTGATCCTGAGGACATTTTAGCGTAAATTTCGTAATTTATTTCAATAAAATTTATTATTATAAACTAATGAATTAAAAAATTTTCATTTTTTATCGAGTAGTTTAGCAGCTAAGAAACTTAAAAAAAAAGATTTGGCAGCAGTTGATCATTCACAGGTTAAATATGAGCCTTTCAGGAAGGATTTTTACATTGAGCCTCCAGAAATGCACGAATTGACGCATGACCAAGTAGACCTTCTTAGGGTGGAATTGGGAGGAATTAAAATTAGAGTAAGTGATTAATTAAATTATGATATATATTATAATTTATATATCAATTAATAGACCTTTTTATTTGTTCTTTTTTGTTTATTTAGGGTATTGATTGTCCAAAACCCATACAAAAATGGACACACGCGGGTTTACCGGCTGCATGGTCATCATTATTATTAATTTGTTTCAACATAATTGGACCTTTATATTTAATATGCTAATCGTAATTCTTCATTTGATTTGATTGAATAGTCTGCACATAATTAAAAAATTAAATTTCGAAAAACCCACACCTATTCAATCACAAGCAATACCTGCTATAATGGCTGGTCGTGATGTTATTGGTGTTGCAAAGACTGGAAGTGGTAAAACCATAGCATTTCTTCTTCCAATGTTTCGTCATATTAAAGATCAACGTTCACTTGATCAAATGGAAGGACCTATTGCAATTATTATGACACCCACAAGAGAACTTGCAGTTCAGATACATAAAGAATGTAAACACTTTTTAAAAGGGCTAAATCTTAGGGTATATATATTATTTATATTCAATTAATATTTATTTAAATATTTCAAATCTTATTAATTATTCATTTTCTTATTATAGGCTGTTTGTGCCTATGGCGGATCTCCTATCAAAGATCAAATTGCTGAATTAAAACGCGGTGCTGAAATAATTGTTTGTACTCCCGGACGAATGATTGACTTATTATGTGCTAATTCTGGTCGCGTTACTAATTTAAAAAGAGTCACTTACCTTGTATTGGATGAAGCTGATCGTATGTTTGATATGGGATTTGAACCTCAGGCATGCATTATTTTAAAATCATAAATATATATTTTTATTTCAACTTCATTGTGAACCATATTATTATATTTAGGTCATGAAAATCGTCAACAATGTTAGACCTGATCGTCAGACGGTCTTATTTTCTGCTACTTTTCCACGTCAGGTAAGCAAACAACCAATATTTATTTATTTTTGTATTATAAAGTATTTAAACTAATTATTATGATGTTCTTTCTATATAGATGGAGTCGCTTGCACGAAAAGTTCTCAAACGACCACTTGAAATTACCGTTGGTGGACGTAGTGTGGTAGCACAAGACGTTAATCAAATAGTTGAAGTTCGAGAAGATAATACAAAATTTGTTCGCTTACTTGAAATATTGGGTCAGCAATATAATGACGATCCAGATGCTCGTACTCTAATTTTCGTTGATCGTCAGGAAGCAGCAGATAATTTATTGCGAGACTTAATACGCAAAGGCTACGCCTGCATGTCTCTCCATGGTGGCAAGGTAATTAATTTGTTGAATTTACATTATTTATATATATATATTTTTTTTATAATTTTTTATTTCCTATATTTATAGGATCAATTGGACCGTGATAGTACAATAGCTGATTTCAAATCTGGTGTTTGCCAGCTGCTGATAGCTACTTCTGTAGCTGCGAGAGGTCTTGACGTGAAGCAATTGAAATTGGTTATTAATTACGAATGTCCAAATCATATGGAAGATTATGTTCATCGTGTTGGAAGAACCGGAAGAGCCGGTAATAAAGGTACAGCATATACTTTTATTACACCAGAACAAGATCGGTATGCGATGGACATAGTTAAAGCGTTGAAATTAAGTGGTGGTCATGTTAGTCCAGAATTACAAGCGCTTGCTGATGGTAAGATATTGATTTTCGTATTAATTAATCATGGATTGATTCATAGAATAATATCAAATTAATTTATATTTGTTTCTTTTTAGGATTCCAAGAAAAGGTCAAGGCAGGAAATGCCACATATTCTGGTTCGGGATTTGGTGGTAAAGGCCTTGAAAGGTTGGATGAGGCACGAGATCTTGTAAAGAAAGCTCAAAGAAAGGTAAATTTATCATTAATATATATATATATTTATGTATATAATTATATAAATATATAAATTTTATTTTCTTTTTTTTATTAATAAATCTCTTTATTTTTAGACATATGACGTTTCTGATGATGAAACTTCCGAAGAGGAGGCGGAGGATGAGGAACATTCGATCCCACAAATTAAGAAAGATGAAATTTTAACAGCTCCTGGTATTTCTTCTATAACATCTAAGACTGCAGTTACTATTCCATCTCCAGCTAACAGTCATTCTGCAGATGCAAATCCTGCAGCAATTGCTGGTAAATATTTTGCCCAATAATTATTCACATTATTGACGACATGTCAACTATTTTTTATTAATTTATCAATTCTAGCACTGAAAGCTGCTCAAGAGGCTGCAGCACGTGTAAACGCAAAGAATGTCGGTGCAAGTGGCGTTCAAAGAGCGAAAGATATCATTGCAGATATTAATGCCCGCTTTAAAGAAAACTCTGTACAAGGCACAGCACCTGAAGCCGATAAAGCCGAAAATGCTGCAGAATATTCTGTCGAAATTGAAATTAATGATTATCCACAAAAGGCGAGATGGAAAGTTACGAATAAGGTAGGTTGTGATTATAATCATTAACAATAATCTCTAATTTATAATATTAATTAATCAATTAATTACGATCTTATAATAGGAACAAATCTCGCAAATTACAGAACTTACAGGAGCGGCTATCACTACTCGTGGTACATATTTCGCTCCTGGCCGTCAACCAGCACCTGGTTCTGGCGAAAGAAAATTATATTTATTCGTTGAAGGTGAAAATGAATATGTTGTCGAAAAAGCCAAGAACGAAATAAAACGCATTTTAACAGAAACCACGTTAAGTGCGATTGAGGCCGAAGCTCGTAATCCCGGAAGTACTTCATTGGGTGGTTACGGCAAGTATTCGGTTGTATAAACGGAAATTTTTATTTTTTTAGCGAAAGTTCTGGACATTGGCATTATTTCTTTTATCCCTTTTCTGTTTTATTATTATATCTTCCTATAGACGATTTGTACGCAAATTCTCGAAGATTTTATTCACTGTTTTTAATAAAGGTGGTAGAAGGTTTCCATTCTATTTATATCCTTATCCTTTAATTCTCTGGGTTGCCCAGTTGACAAATTTCTTTTTTGTAAATTTGCTAAGCTCGGCACTTTTCCAACATCCGAATTGTTTACAGTTATTAAAGCTCTTACTATGGATTAAGGCTTATTACCACATTTTCAGTTAACATGGGCAAGTACATTTAGATTTTGACCCACATTATTTTATGCAATAGCTTAATGTAAATATTTATTAGATTTAAAAAATTTGAATCAACTCAAAACCCAAATGCATTATATAATTTATTATTTAAAAATAATAACTCCGTTTTTGGATTTATTTATCATCTCGAAGAATTAATTATAAGGCGGCAATAATTCAATGAGGTAAGAGAATATCATCTTAGATGAATTGTGCCTTTAATTTTTTTGTTTTTTTGTTATTATTATTATTATTATTTGACAATTTATTGAAAAAATGTGCAAATTTTTTGATCGAGCATTACATTATGTATACTTTTTATTAATTAAACAAAATAAAATTTCGTATTATATTAAACCTTAAAGCTATACGAATTATTTTTTCTTTTTATTTTTAAATTTTCCTGAAGATTTGTGTTCATTATTATTATTAGTATTTCTTGTAATATAACCACATTTTTCTAAAAGGTCCCGAGAACAATTTAGTATATCTTTAAATCTTTCTGGACCTAACAAAATTCCACCAAACCATCTTGAAACGATTACAACAACATTTTTTGCATCAGTAATTTGTAATAAATGTAGTAATCTACTTCCAGCAGCCGTTTCGCCATCATCATCGTTATCTGGGTTAAAAACGAGATAATTATGAGAACATTGAAAAAGTAAAGATAAAAAATACATATACTCAAAGAGATACCTTGTATTAATAAACCATTTTCTTGAACAATTCGATAAGCCATTATATTATGTGTAGCTTTAGCAATCTTTCTATCTAACAATAAAGTAGTTCTCACAAGTTGAACTTGTTGTATATTTGATACAGAAGCTAAATGAGCAATAAACAATGATTTTTTATGTTCTAATGGTTCTCCATGTATGATTTTTGGACACTCATTAATAATAATGTCATTATTATTCAACTTTTTTTCGGTGTTTATCACGCTTGAAATGATATGTTCTTTTTCATATAACTGGTTTTTATTCCTTATATTTATTAATCCATCTTCATTGTCAATTTTGGTTTTGATGAAATCTTGAAGCCATTCAATCCAAGAAAATATAACTACTTCACCAGGAACAAATAATTGATTGAAGTTTTTTTCGATTTCATCCTTTATATTTTGATCAATTTTTAGTGTACCACAATATAAACTTACTATTTCATAATTGGGAGGTTCGGAAGAAGGATAATTTGGTGGAAAATGAAATCTTAAAGTTAAATTTTTAGATGATTTATTGTCTATTACATTTGTTGTCTCAATATCATTAATACTATTATCCAGGGACAATTTAAAGATATAAGAGGGGTATGATTCGGAAACTGCTTGAAAGGAAACTTCCCCAAATATTGAAGTTAGTGCTAAAAACTCCTCCTCTTGTAACTCTCGATTTTCGTTAGTTGTCATCTCAAACCTAGTGAATGATTTAAAAAAAATAGCAACAATATAATAATGACCGGATTACATACAGGTTGACGTTCCGGTTTGTATAATTTGTCAAACACGGGTACAATATAAAATTTTTATATAAATGAGTATATATATTATCTATTAATTTTTTTTTTATCCAAAGATGAATATTTTATTTAATGGTTATATATATAAAATTATATAAATCAATATAATAAAGGCATGACCTCTTCGACTGCAGTCGTAGAACTTGGCTTCGCAGAGCCACCAGAAAGTCCTCTTGTAGCTAAAAATTTTCCAAATAAAATTGGAGGAAAACCGGTAATTAAATACTTTTTATCAAATGATTCGCTAAAGTTCCAAATATCATATAATTTTTTTTTTTTTTTTTAGGAATGGTTAAATCCAGAGTATATCCTATCAGCGGACCAAGTTCGTTGTGAAGTTTGTCGTAAACCGATGATACTTTTGGTTCAAGTATAAGATGATATTTATTATCAAAGATAAAATTTTAGTACCTTTTATTATTATTTTTTATTTTTATTTTTGATGATTATCATAAACTTTTTAGCTATACACTCCTGAAGACAATCCACCCGAAGCATTTCATCGTACAATTTACGTATTTTGCTGCAAGGATGGGTCATGTCACGAAATTTCTTGGGAGAAAAGGTTAACTACCATAAATCGCACTTGTATTCATTTTAAATAACATTGAATATATTATTACATGTACATGTACATTTACAAGCGTACATATATTAATTTTAGCTTTAAAGTATTTCGGAGTCAATTACCTAAAAATAATCCCTATTGGCAAGAAAATGAATCTGATAAAACTTTCATACCCGGTATTCCTCAACATTTTATTAATTGAACTTAAAAAAATAATGTTAACAGTTTTATAAAAAATCTTTAGCCAAACAATGCACGGTTTGCGGGTTTCTTGGATCGAAAATGTGCGGAAAATGCAATCAAGTTAATTATTGTTCAAAAGAACATCAAGTTCATCATTGGACCTTGGGACAACATAAAATCCATTGCAATACAATGTCAAAACCACCATCTTTACAAATTATTGCGGAACATGATAATCATTGTAGAAAATTGGTTTTATTCCCGGAATTTGAAGTAGTTACAGAACAAGAAGGGAATTCAGATGAAGAAGACCAAAGAGATGGTGATGGTAATGATGATAATTCTTTAAATGATGTTAATTCTAAGGCACTTGTACCTGTTGGGGATGAAGTTTATGAGAATACTAAAGTGGATGTCGATAAAGCATTTTTAAAATTTCAAAAGAGAATCGAACAATATCCCGATCAGATTTTAAGATACAATCGACTTGAATATGGATGCGAAAAAAATGCGGAACCTTTATGGGTTAGCAATATTGGAAAACCAACTGAAAAAGATATACCTTCATGTCCACATTGTGGACAAGAAAGAACTTTTGAATTTCAGGTAACTTTTTAACTACTTTTTGTTTTCGTTTTTTTAAAAAAAAGATTTAAATATAAATTATAAATGATTTGTATACACACACATTATATTATTTAAAGATCTTGTCTACACTACTTAATTATCTCGAAATTGATCATTTGCAACGAAGTTCACTTGATTGGGGTACATTGCTTATATATAGCTGTAAAGATAACTGTCATGTAGAGAATATGTATTACGTTAATGAAATTTTATGGAGACAAGATTTTAGTGAGGAAGGTGTTAAAGGTTTAAGATAAAAAAAAATTTTTTTTATTTTGTATAAATTTGTAAAAATTTGTAAAAAAAAAATTACCTTATTATGGAAGTAAAAACATCTTTTTAAAAGTGCTTCCTTGAAAGAATAGATATAAATTTGAATATTACATATTACACATTAAAAACCAAAGCTACGCATGCAAGCTTTATGAGCCTCAATCAAATCTTTACACTTTTCTTGATCTCCAGTTTCAAAAATACATTGATCTCGATTTCTCTTAGTTTCAGGACATGCACAACAAGGGAGAATTTTTGGTTTCGTGGTTGTGTCTGTAACTGTTAAATTTGTATTGGACTTTGTAACGGAACTTGTAGGAATATCCGTTGTTTTAGTAGACATTGTTTTCTTTTACGAGGCAGGAAAAAAAAAATCTTTATAACCAACATTTCAACACGTGATATTAGTGTGAAACTATTGGCTGTAATAAAACAGTTTAATTTAATTAACCAAATTTTGTTATAAAAATAAATTAAATAAAGAATATATCCTTTGATGTAAAATAAAGGTATTTTGTTGTTTTTAAGTTAAATAAGATTGAAATTTTGATGCATTTAACAAATTTCTCTTAATAGAAACCACCCAACCCATTTCTACCGGAACCATGTGGTGGAACACCTTGCCTACCACGAACATCACCTTCATATGTATTACCGCCATAATTAAAACCTTTCATGTTATGGAGAGGTGGTTGGTGATATTGTTGTGGATGAGATGAGGAAAAGGGAAGACCCATAGGTTTAGATCTGTTTGTAGGGATATGAGGAACTTCATTATGTAACTGACCACCTGATCCCGTTCGTAATTGATGATGGGATTTTTTTGTCTTCAACCTTCCGCTAGCATCAGATAAACGTGCATTTGAAGAAGGTTGCGGAGGCAAAGTATTATTAATATGTTGTTTAATGCTTTTTCCTGAATCTATGTTTTTTGATAGGGAAGGCATAGATTGATTAAAATGATTATGATGTTGAACATTGGGGGGAGGAATACTTCTGTCCTTATTTTTATCCATAATATTATCCCTATTACTGTCTTTATTTCTTCTAATCAAGGGCGATGAATTATAATTCATTGATTCACGATCGTAAATTTTTGGTTGAATGTTTTTACTAATATCATTGTCTATTAAATGTAGTCTATTTTTATTATCATTTAAATTTGTAATCATTGGTGGTCTATAATTATTTTCTTTTGATGAAAAGTTTGTCGAATTTTTATTATCTGAATTTGAATTTAAATCATGTAACCATTCAGGAAGGTATTCATCTTTATCTTCATAATACTCTCTTAATATTCGTGAAATATGAGTTTCCCCTTCCCACTCATCTTTTTCCGATTCTAATTCAAAGTAAAAACAAACAGATTTGGTTTATTTATATTTTTAGAGAAATTTTTTTTTTTCATGTACTGTAACTTACCATTATCAGAATCACCATCATCATTATATGAAGTTGCCGCGTTTAACAACGTTTTCCATAATTTCGTACCTTGAGGATTATCCATTTCATCTATAAAAGGAAAATAATGATTACAAATCATACATGGAAATGATTTTAAAAGTCTACATGATATTCATCCCTTTTTACCTTCGGTGTTAGGATCATTCCAAGTACGAACAGTTCGAAGTTTATTCCAGAGACCATCGGATTGTCTATTATTATTCGATTGCGTGTTGGATTTTGAAGGATTAGGATATCCAGTTGAAAGATATTTGTTCGGTATTGATGATAAAAGAGGTGCTTCCGAGGAAGGTATTCCACACTTATGACGGGCAGGGTATAGACCAACGTCTTGATCGCAATCTTTACAAAGGATTAAAATCCTAGAAACCCTGTAATCTATAACTTCAACCATTCTTAGGTTTTAATAAAGAAAAAAAGAAGGTTGATGTATTTTAGTTTTTTTCGCGTGGGAAACGAAAAAATAAGTCGAGAAAAAAAGGTTTTGTTTAAAAAAAAGGTGGTAGGTGGGTGATATTTATCCAAAAGGAAGGAAGTGAGTGAGTGCTGTAATTTTTTATACTGGCAAGAAAGAATGATGATAAAAATTTTAATTGTTCCAGCAAGAAATGTTTATAATCATTCTAAACTGCCAAAACGTATTTGAACGGCCAAAAAAAAATTTTAAAAATAAAAAAATGATGGCACATTTTTAAAAGCAAAGCGAAAGTTTATATATAGATAGATCGATCACCAATAAAACCGAATTCTTTTATTACCGACATTTTTTGAATTATTTTTTTTTTGTACGCGTGAACACAACTTAAATTCAGTGAATCAAAATCCTGAATTTCCTGTCCTGTATTATATATAGAGATTATGTTATATGGAGGTACAACTTTTGATTCCTTAATTATTAATTATGGTAATAAAATGTCAAATAAAGGGACAAAATTTAAAATAAATATCTATTAATATTAACTTTATACATTTGATTTTTTAAAATTTGTAGAGAAAAAAAAAAATAATTCCGATTAAAAATGTAAATCACATTTACTGTATCGGTATGTATTGAAAATCATTAAAATTCAAAATGCAAATCATTATTTATTTACCTTTTTCATCCCTAACCTAATCAAAAAGAAAGGGGGGTTTCGTTTTTTTTAAATAAAGATGTCTTTAATTAAAGTGAAATTATCATTTAGGTAACATAATTTTTAATTAAAGTTTCAGTTGGAAACCTTTTATTCATTTTGATATTAAAATCTATTTTTTTTTCTTTGTCTAAAAATAAAAAGTGGTGGAATGGAATTATTGTTTAATAATATTAAACAAAAGCATATAGAGATATCATCATCGATCAATCCACCAAATGCAACTACCATGAAAGATTTGGTTTGTAAATTTAATTTCACTATTTTGATCAAAATTTCGTATGAAATAAATTAAAATTAATAAATAAATAAATAATGTATGTATGTGTGCGTACAAAAAGATTTTATGGATAAGAGATAATTTGTTAAAAGAACGTCCAGAACTATTTATGAGTGGAGACACTGTGTAAGTTGAGATATATATATGTATTGATATGGTCTTCAAATATTTTTTTCAACTTGATTTAATTTTTTTTTTTATTTAAAAAAAATGATAAAAGTCGTCCTGGAATATTAGTATTAATAAATGAAACGGATTGGGAATTAGAAGGAGAATTAGAATATGAAATTAAAGATGGTGATGATATTGTCTTTATATCTACATTACATGGTGGATAGAGGTAGAATAAATTAGAATAATTAGTTTGAATGATATTCTAAAAAAACGAAGGATTTTATTTCTTAAATTAGTTAAAGAAAATTTAATAAATGATCTGCCAACCACTGATGTTCTCAATAAATGATGAATCGAGGCAACAACATTCTGTGTAAATTAACCGTTCCGATATAACGAACAAACGTCTTTGTAAAAATAACCAATTAAATTCTAATTTTTCGTATTATTTATAAAGTTTGAGCTTCGAGGTTACTTTTGCCATATTAAAAACCGACTAGAAATAAATAGTAAAACTTGAATGTTTCAGAACGATTATCCATTTTTGTGTATGTGTTCGTATGTGTTCCTTTTCTCGAAAGTTTACGATTTTAACATTATATACATTATTTGATGCATCCTATAATTTTTTTATTAATAATTTTGATGCAATAAGTGACGGATACCTACACGAAAAACAAAAAGACATCATCATAAATGTGGGCGAATGGCCCAGTCACAAATCGAAAAAAAAAAATAACTAGTAATTTAGAATTGCATTTATTTATACAAACAAATCTAATTATACACATGAACTTTATAACTTTTAAAATGGGAATCCTCATTGATCAGTAAAAAAAAATGATAAATTTTTAATATTAAGTTTATAAAATGAATAAATTAGTACATCTTTATTCCTAAAAAAATTCATTACTTCTACTAAATCCATCTTGAATAATTTCTTTAATGATCTTACAACCCGATTTAATTAAGTCTTTTTGTTCTTTTAGTATATCACATTTTCTAACAAAATTATATAAAAAAAATAGAATCCCTTTTGCTAATGTGGGATTTATTAAAGATTTACTAAATATTTTAAAAAGTATTTTGATTTGATCATTTGACTTTCTTGAAAATTGTGTTTCATGGGATAATAAAATTATATTAGAAAACAATAGCTGAAAAAATAATCGTGATTTCTGTTGAAGTTTAGGAAATGATACGGTCTTTGCAATAATTTTCAATTCCCAAAGGTGCAGTTAGTATCGATTTTGCAAGAGTAAAGAAAAAATGTAACCAAAGTAAAGCTCACCTTTAGTATTATTATGGATAATTGACCTCCAGTTAATAATAATGCATAAAATTTACTCAAATTCACAATCCTTCTTAGTGGAATGTTTTCTAAAGTTGTTGATGGAGTATTTTTAACAAGTTCCATACCACCGATATCACTTTCTCCACATTCTCTTAAAAAATCCCATAAACAATATTGAAAAGTAATTTTATAACTATGATCGTGTTCACAAAGTTTTTGTGATATCAATGCGTAATACGGATTATACGTTTTTTCCTAATCAATTTAAGGAAAGGAAAAGAAATTATGCGTTAGATTGATTAAACAAATGATATATGTTACTATTTAATTAAGTTAAATTACATTTCCGCAACAAAGTAATAGCACTCTAGGAATTTCACGCTCTTGAACTTCTTTAAGATTTAATTTCAATAGCCTTTCGAATGCGTCAATATAATCCTACAATGTTAATTAATATTAATAAATGCTATAAAAAACCTTTATTATTAGATAAAATTCTAATATGAAAATTTCAATATCTACCTCACTACTCATTGTAACCACAAAAATACTTCTTCTAATATCCGTATTCATTTTTTGTTCTTTAGCCAACTTTAATAAAGCTTCAGTTGCTGACTTATCAATTTTCTCGACGCGTTGTGTAAAAGTTGAGGTTGATGGATCATCAACCATATTAGCGGTCCATGACGACCCAACAAGCCACCATTTACCTGTTAAAAGAAAATAAATATAACAAAAGTGTTCGCAATCAAAGAGTTGTGAAAATGTCCTAAGATAGTTTCTTGGATTTTTAGAACCATATTGAAAAACTTTCAAGATGTAAATCTTACAACTTTATCGTGTGGCTAGGAATAAGATTTCATACCTTTTGTTTCAATTGATTTAATATCATCAAGACCAACCCTCAACGCTTCTGTCGCTTGAACTATAAGGACCAAAAAAAAAGTTTTATGAAAAGGATTATCAAAAGGAATAAAAAGATTAAATATATACCATGAATCCTCTTTCCCAGATTGTTAAGAAATTTTTTCATTCTAAGAACATTTTCTGTATTCGCTATGAAATCTTGTTGTTTGACGCGATTATTTTTAAGATTTAAAATAGTTTCAATCATAAACTTCCAACGTGATCTATTAAAAACGCAAAAAGATTAAATGGATCTGTCATTAAATATAAAAGGAATAAAAATTTATATTAATCGAGATACCTACCCTAGCGTCCTTGGATCTTTTTTGCTGGTTTCAGTTTGAACCTGTTGAATTATCTCTTTCAAGGCAGTTGGATCATCTTGTCTAAGCTGGTATCCAGAACCTATATTATACACATGTGCATTAGCATATATATGTCTTTCAACATATAACAACTATCTCGAAGATTTATAACTTACTCCTGACTATCTTTAATAGTAATTCAACGTTAAGTTCATTCAAATCAGTAATAAATATTCTAATTAAATCATATATCAAAACACATGATATGACTTGAAAATTATAAAGTTCCGAGATTAGAACGATTAAATTTGTGCACTCTTTTCCACCTTCTCTTTCAAGATTTTTTACATCATCAGATGTGCTACTATATTGTTTATGGTATCTTTCAAATTCTTCTATCACCTTTTGGACAAAATAGGCACCTTATAATAATAATACAAAATAATAATAATAAGTCAACTTGCGAAGATTAAGAGCTTCTTTCAAATATTTACTTACAAAAATCGATACCAATTATCTTGTAAAAGGCCGCTACTAGTGTTGCATATATAATGACAAATTGATCTAATATTGTGGACCTTGAAGTAATTAAATTTAAGACAAGGGATGTAATAGAAGAAGTTACATCTATAAAAAAAAAGATTTAAAATTAATTAATAGTGTTAACTCAGGAATATTTATTTATTTATAAATATTAATTACCGTGTCGGGTAAATTTTTGATACAATTCCTCAACATTAATGATTATACTCTCAATATTAGACTCGCTCAACCTGTAATCACAAACCATTAAATTGCAACAAACACGATAAAAATAAAAGTCGGATTTAAAAAATAGCGTAACGATACCTATTTAATAAGCCTTGTAATTGTCGTTGCAACCGTATTTGTTGTTCTTTCTTTGCATCATCACTTTCCGATGTGAAATCACACAAAGTTTTACGTTGCATATGTGGAGGAATATATTTATCTAATAAAAAAAAACTATTATAGCACAAAAGTAAAGTATAAATATTGCAAGCATGTACAAACCTTTCGCTTCGTTCGCTTCTGATTGTTGGTCATTATCATTACACTTTTTCCCTTGCTTCTTAAAAATCTTACTTTCAGATTCCCTTTCTACATCGCTCTCTTCTTCCATATTATCAGAGTTTTCATCATCACTCTCCGTTTCATCAAAAACATTGAAATCATTTTGTTCCTCATCGTCATCATGTGACATATCAATTTCCTATTAATTTGAGCAAGCTATTATTTATGCATCTTTAGGATAAGACATAAATTAAACGAAATTTTACTTCATTTTCCTCTAATATAGAATTCGACTTTTTCGAATTTTTCGAACCAATTTCGAACCCTTGCAATAACTCTATTTCAAAAACACAAATTAAATATATTACCATCTATTGAAAAAAGACTTGCATAATAATTGTATAAATTCCATACCATCTAATCCATCTTCTTCGAAAGCTTTTGTTAATTTTCCTCTAGATTTTATACCCAATTTTTTTTCTAATCGTTTAAGTTCCTTGTCATCGACATTTTTAGATTCGGGTAAAATTTTTTTATTTGAGAAAACAAGATTTGAATCTTTAAGTAGTGAATAAAAATTTGGGTTTGTTGTAGAGAGTTTTTCTAATTTCTGTGAATAATTATTTTTTTTTGTGTTTTTTGATTTTTTGGTTGAAACATTAGTGTCAGAAATAATTTTTGTTGTAGAAGGTTGCGATTGATTCGTTTTCTGACGTTTCGCAGGCGATTGAACGTTTATTCCAACTTGAATTCGTTGAGTCTAATTTAAGAAAGAGACTAATTAATAACAATAACAATAAAATTCGTCGAATTACTTTTAAAGTACCTTTTTCTTTTTTTTATCTATTCGTCCTTGTCTTCTTTGCTCCTTTCTTGATTGTGCGCGATTTGTGAATCGTTTCTCGAACTTCCTGTCATCATCTACGATAATTAATTATCACCTTAAAATGAGTAAAAATATCGACATACTTTAAAGCAAAAGTAATTTTAAATCGATGCATTACCAACGTCAACAAGTTTTTCTTGAAGAGTATCAGGTAATTTTGGACCTTTAGCTTTACGTTTTAATGACATGTTTGCGATGGGGTCTATAATTGAAAATTTGATTTTATGCAAATTTTTAACCAATCAAATTTTCCCGATAAAAATTTTTTTAATGATCATGTGATTATAAGAGATGTGTAACCTTAAAGCTCATGTCATGTGATTATTACCCACTAATTTTTGGCCGGCATTATAGAACTTGACTCTAGCTTTTTTGAAGAGATATGGAAACATCGCCATAAGGACGGTGACATATTTGGTAAAATATCATAGGTTACATTATTAATATCATATTATAAAGGTAATTTATTACCTGAAGATAGACTTTTATAGTAATGATGTCCTAAGATACAAAAATAAATTTATCACGTGAAATTCGTGCCTGTTCATACCCTAAAATTTCTTTACCCTAAATTTCAGTTATAAAGATTCCGATTCTACTTTTTTTTTTTATTCAATCTCTTCTCTTACTTCCCAACAAATAATATGTACACGCAAAATAATAAAATATTAGAGCTGCTTTTTTTATAGTTCTATATACTTATGACATTTTTTAATCAAAAATTTATTACTTTACTTTTACCCCTCCTCACTTCTTTACTTTATTTAGTCGGTTAGGCAGGTCGTCCGCTCTTTCGATTTTCGGTTTAGGTTATAGGATTTTTTGTAGGTAGGTCCTGTTATATTTTGTAGGCCCTACGGTAAGGATCTTTCTTTCTTTCCTTTTATTTAATTTGCGTGTACATATATTTGTTAGGAAGGTCAGGTAAACTGAAGAAAAAAAAAAAATACTTGTTTTCGTGTTTTGTTTTGATATATGTAAATAGTATATGTATTCATATTAGTAAAACGTTATGTATATTATAATAAAGATATAAACCATCATTTTATTTGAAATATGAAATAAATAAATTTTTTTTATATTGTGTTATCAAAGTGTTTTTGAAACGTGTAATCTCGCGATTAAAGTATAAAATACATATGAATTTTTTTTCTTCGGCTATGATATGAGAAATTCCACCTTCTCGATCTAGTATCCCGAAGCTAAAAAAAAATAAAAATGATAACATTGATTAGATTTTTGAACGTGATACTTCGTACGTTTGTAGGAACAAGAATTTTAATGCAAGGCTTACTTACCCTCTATTTATTAGATTAGTTTCTACATTTCCGTATTAAGCCCGGTTCGAATTACAGATCAAAAGCTTGTTGAAAAAAAATTGGTCAGAAAGTGGGAAACAGAGTATCCTGAATTCATCGATCAAGTCTGCAGTTCAAGAATCGAATTCATATTTTAATTAAAATGATTCCAGTGTAATTGTTGCTTCTGTAGAGAAATTAGATTGACGGTATAAAGGATTACAAAAAAATAAATAAAATAACATTAATTGATACATGGACATTCATATTTTAACGCAAAAAAAAGGAAATAACAAAGAGACCTCGAGCCAAGCAAACTAATCTATCATACTACTATAAATATAATAGAAGGACTTCTATATTTTGCAGAATTGCGAAGAGGTAAATTAATTTCCACCTATTGCGAAAGATGTTTGCAAAGTTTGAATAATGCTGCTAAATACTGCATTTCTTCCGTCTAGGTCTGCGAGATCAAGACTAGTCAATTGAATGCTTTTGTGGTAAAGCTCTTCCCAAAATTCTGCAGTAAAACGTAAAATACATAATAAACTGAACGATACATTTATAATCAATCTTATCCCAACTTTAACAAAACCACCAGAATTAGACTTCGTGATGCTGATTTGGTCTTAGAAAATCCTAAACGAAAGATTGTTTATTTAGCTTATAAGCTCACTTCATTGCAAAGTATTCTCATGTTTAAAATTGCGTAATGTCTCGTCCGGAACATTCAACTCGGCACTTCTTCATATTGCGGTATAATTATAGGCGCTCTTTTGGTGATATTTACATAATTTTATTCGAGTTCTATAACACATTTCAAGAAAATTTACTCGGCAATGTACTGCGCATTTCTCAATTTCAGGATTGAATCGAGAAATTATTTTTATTTTTATTTTTATTTTTTTAATTTGAAAGAATTCTTTGCTAATCTGTGTATTGTATTTCTTTATCAAAATTTTAAAGAAAAAAATTTATGAAGAAAAAACGTTATACTGTATAAATTCTAATAAAAAAAAATTTGCAAACATGTAATATAAATTACAATGCAAAAAAAATTTTTTTTTACTAGCTGATTTTTAGGGTAATCCTTAACCATTCAATCCCTTTTGCGCTTTAACTTGAAGCAACCAGCCCAGAGATACGGATTAAATCCACTAGCTTTTATCGTGGGAAAACTAGTAGGATCCATATCAAAAGGTTCTGCTACGGGTACGTTCATTTGACCTATTGCAAGTTATTAGGAGGAACATTCATAGATCTGACATCAACCGAATCAGAGGATTTGGTTAATACGATGGTATAAAGCGGCGAATTAGAACATTAGCACGACCTGAATTGAGAAAGCAGCCCTATAATCATCGTCATATTCCAAGATCTGGTGATATCAACTGCCCATTAATATTTTGATGGTCAAGGTTCTTCGTATGCCTTTTTCTTCCATAATGTAAATATATGCGAACTGGAAGATCAAGGTTCTTGTCACAATAATTGAGATATTCCTTCAACAAAACATCATCTTTTAAAGTGATTTCGCTTGATCCCGTGTATTCTTTATGTTTCTCTATTTGTGATAAAGCGAGCAAATGCGTCTTGGCTAAATTAATATCCTTAGAGTGAAGTTGAAAATTTTCTACTTTTTCTTTTGTATAATAGACTGATATTGACAAAAAGTTAAATTTGTATTTTAATACACAATATGAAATTCTAAAAAGAATTGTGATGCTTATAATTTTTTATGATCTGATCAAAAACAATTATTATTTGCGATTGATCATTTTATAACAATGTCAATTGAACGCGATTCGTTGGTTAACAACCCGCAAATAAAAAATCAACTATAATCCTTCAAATATTTCTTTGCATGGTTTATGATATGGTTTGATCTTGATTGCTTAACATTACTATAAAAGATGATAAAAAAATTGTATAAAGAAAAACCAATTCACAAATTTTTTTTTTTGTTATGGTCTAACATTATTAGTAAAAAAAAAGAGTGATGCAGGATATATGCAAATATTTTGAAAGCAAAGTTTATCTTAGTTCTTGCGTAAGTTTTTTCGAGAACGTGCAGCTTGAATAGTGCAAGAGCATCCGTCAACATAAATATTTCCTTGATTTACAGCAGCATTGTAATTCTCATATGATTCGAAAGTGACAAAAGCAATGTTCTACATTTATAAATCATATAGATAATTTCGTTAATATGAATTCAATATTGATTGGATAAAAGGATTGATTACCTTAGAGGTCACCAAATCTAGACGAAGTATTCGACCAAATTGCTCTTCTAATGCTTGTTTCAAATTAACTTTGGATATGTCGGATTTGATGGATCCAATATAAATGCGATATTCTAAGATGAAATATTAATTTTGAATCTAAAATTATATTAAACACGAAAAATGATGATTTCTTTTTTTTACCTTCAAGTGTATTTGCTTGATTAGAATGAACCCATTCGGTAGTAGGATCACAATCATTTTCTATATAAACTAGTTCCAATTTACTTTTACCACGACCATCATTATTTTGTTCGGAAAGTGACCGACCACTCACTATATTATTAGAAATTGAGTAGGCAGATAAAAAAAGAACATTTGAAAGGTATATATAATTTGTAAACTTTACTTATGGATTGTTTAGGGTCCTCTCTCAGAGTCAATATTAATTCTCTCTGTGACTTAATTAAAGCTTCTTGTAATAAAGCTATCTTTTCATCTTTTGATTTGATAATCGTGTCTTTTAATTCGATTTGTAGCTTTAATAAATCACAACCAGAGCACCTTCTGTGTCCCATATTTGTTTCGAATTCTCCCATATGCAACAACTAAATATTTAAATTTTTCTGTCGCGATTTTATTAAAAAATGGTGTATTTAAAAATCGACACGTACCGATATTGTGTAACGAATACCCAATGCAGAACTTGATTCAATATCATCATGTGCAGATGAGCCTAAATTAACTTAGATCGAATTCTTTATCATGTTTTGCTATAAAAAATTTGAATTTTAATAAAGGTGATATTTACAACTAGATTGCAACCTTTAAAGTTACAAACAAGTGCAATTTTCAATATTATAAACCTTTATTTAAAATTCTGCAACTGGCTATAATTTGAATGAATTGAAATTCTAAAAGATAGTTGCAGATTCATATTTACTCTCGATTAATTTTTTTTACTCACATAAAAAGCATTGCAAAATTATTATTGTGCTTTATTTTTTTTTAAAAAAAATTTCTTAATTATATTATTAATTATTCTATTAAAAGTCTTATTAATTAAAGTCATGTGACATTCATTTTTTACGAATTTAACGCGCACTCTTTTTTGGTTTAACTTTCTATTCATAATTGATTTTTTAATTATGTTGTTTCGGGAAAATATTATTTTATAATAAATTAAAATCTATTTACCGCTTCTTTTTAAAAAAAACGAACAACTTTTTGCAGAAAATTAAGTATGGTTGATATTAACTGGTAATATTAGAATATTCCTTTACATGGACCCAATTCCAAGAAAGTGATTGATTCACGAAATTGTTTATTTTATTTTATTTTTTAATAATAAATAATTCAATATAAAAATACAATAAATTTATAACTTTGAACTCCAGTTTTTCAAATTCATATGTTTAATTCCTTCAACATACATTTCCTGTTTCAATGATCCATAAATCGCACCAGCTTTTGCTTTGCCAGACCATTTTAATCCCAAACCTTTTGCTTTTTCTAATACTTCATTTTCTGTTGCAATGATTTCTACAAGTCCTTGTTCTAATGCTTCTGTTGATGTAAATTTATGAGCTTGTAAAATACAATCTCGATAAGTTTTTGGTGTCATTTTAATACGAACTATCGCTGCCATTCCAGGATGAAGAGGAGAAGGAATATCAACTTCATTCTTTATGGAAAATAAATTATAATTGTTTTTAGGTAAAGATAAATATACGAAATATTCTAATATTGATTACTCACCATACACAAAAATCCTCTATCACTTCTCATAACACGATAATCTAAATTCAATTTAAATTTATCACCAAATTTTTTTATTTATTTAAATGGATTTACATCTTTCTTACCATGTGCAAGAGCAAACATAAATCCTCCGGCAAAAGCATGTCCATTTATTGCAGCAACGGTAGGGATAGGAAATGTCAAAACCCTTGTCAATAATTTCAAATAATAATCATCAAAAAATCCTGGTACGCTAATAGCATGTTCTAAATCTAATCCATTACTGAAAAATTTTCCTTCTCCCGTAGTAATGAGTGCTGCAGGTTCGCTATCATTTTCTTCACGAACTTTCTCAATTTCATCTAAAGCTCCAAAAAGTGCTTCAACAAATTTTGTTGTAAATCGATTTTCTCCGGTTTTCATTGTCATAATGAATAATGGTCCTTCTCGAGCAAGCGTAACCATTGGATTGGATGTATCAGGAAATGCAGATTTAATACTCATATTTGGAATTCGATGCGTCTGCAAAAAAAAAAAACAACAAAAATAGTATTTCTTATGTTTAAAAATTATAATTTGGAAATTCGATCAATTGAACCTTTAAAACCATTTGATTAAATAATAATTCCAAAAAATTAAAGGTACAAATTTGTAACGGTGCATTAAATTGACACATAATTAATACCCACCTTATCAGAAGATTCTGCAGAATAAAATCTTTGCGAAGGTACGATCCTTGATTTGAACTTAATCGGTAATAATGGTAATTTCAAAAGGTTTTTTTGGTAAAAGATGGATAAACGGTGATAAAATACCATGATTTTTGGTCGAAAATCAAATATTATCGTTACATATATGAAAATCGTCACTAAATTAAGGTATATACATACCATTACTTTTCAATTTGTAAAACCACAATTCTAAAATATGAACGAACTTTTTTCTCTGTTAAATCTATTCACATTATTTATCGGCATTCTAATTATAATTTTTATTATATATAAACAATTCATAAATCGAACCCAAATTTTAGCTCGAAAAAACCTTAATGACTTTTATGAAAAGTTAAATTATGCTTCAAAACCTATAATACTTGGATTTTTTCATCCCTACTGGTAAGTTTCTTTTCTTATAAAAATGATAATTGTTACTATTCATTTAATTCTGATCAATAATTTATTTTGCTAATGAATATTTTACATGTTAAGCAACTCTGGAGGTGGGGGAGAGAGAGTTTTATGGACGGTTATAAGAAGTATTCAAGAAAGATATCAAAATATAGTTTGTGTTGTATACACAGGAGATACGGATGTAACAAAAGATGCTATTTTGGAAAAAGTTAAGGTAATTTAAAGGGATTTTCGTGGATCAATGTATTAAAATTTTTTTTAATTTACAATTTTCAAAAAATTATTTAGATACGATTTAGCATTAAACTTAATTCCGACAATTTATTCTTTGTCTTTTTGAAAAAACGAAAATGGGTAGAGGACAGTAGGTATATAAAAAGTCTTATGAGAATACATATAAATTAATTACTGTACATGTTAATATTTTTAACAATTTATAAATAGATATCCTAGGTTCACTTTATTAGGACAAAGCCTTGGTTCAATAGTTCTTGGTTTTGAGGCTTTAGTAAAACTAACGCCAAATTTTTATTTTGACACTATGGGATACGCATTTACATATCCTCTGAAAATAATCTTTGGATGCAAGGTTGGAGCATATGTGCATTATCCAACTATAAGGTATTTGAATAACCAATCCGAATAATTTGAAATTTATATATTAGATATTAAATTTTCTTGTCATTTAGTTCAGATATGCTTAGTAAGGTTCAAGAAATGAGACCTGGATTTAATAATGACCAAGAAATTGCCAGAAGTCGAATATTTAGTACTGGCAAGATCTTGTGAGATTCAAGAAAATTTATTTCATTTTTTAATTATATAAAATATACATTTTTGAACTTAATTTATTTATTGTTTTGTTACAGATATTATCGAATGTTTGCTTATCTTTACTCATTAGCTGGTACCTTTTCTGATTTAGTTATGGTGAATTCAACATGGACAAAAGGACATATAGATCAATTATGGAGAGTAAATAGCAAAATAGTTTATCCTCCATGTGATACTGCTTCACTGACTAAATTGCCCTTAGAAGGAAGGCAAAGGATCATAGTCAGTGTAGCTCAGTTCAGGTTGGCTAAATTTCCCTAACTCTATTCTAAATTTTCGAGAATTATTTTTTTTTAACAAAAATTTATCATTTCATATTAGACCAGAAAAAGATCATTTTCTTCAACTTCAATCTTTCCATTGTTTATTATCAAATCATCCAAATTTTCGGCAAGGGCCCGAAAAGGTTGAACTTGTATTGATAGGTAGTTCTCGTAATCAAGGGGATGAATCTAGAATATTAATATTAAAAGAGCTATGTAAAGATCTTGATTTAGAGGTTAATTACAATTACAAAAAAAATTATATATGATCAAGTCTTTATTATTTGAATTGAAGAATATATTTATTGATATTTATATATCTAGGATAATGTAACTTTTGAAATCAATGCAAGCTTTGAAAAACTAGTTTATTGGCTTTCAATAGCTAAAGTTGGATTACACACAATGTGGAATGAACATTTCGGAATTGGTGTTGTAGAATATATGGTATCAGATTTTAAATATTTAATTCAGTTACATTATTAAGTATATATTTATTATAATATAATTTATTATATTATAGGCTGCAGGATTAATTCCCGTAGTTCATAATTCTGGAGGACCAAAAATGGATATTGTTGTACCATATAATGATCATATAACAGGTAAGCAAAAAAAAAATAACCCGTGGCTTTTAATTTTGAGTTTCATCATTTAATTCATATTTATTACAGGTTATCTTGCAAGTACAGCAGAAGAATTTGCAATAAAACTTGCAAATGTATTTTCATTATCTGAAATAGAATTTAAAAATATACAAATTAATGCCAGAGAAAATGTAATTGGTAAATTTTCTGAAAGTGTATTTCAAGACTTAATATTGAATTTGTTGGATCCAATGTTACAACAAAATAATAATTATTAGAAATTGTTACATACGGACACTATATGCAAGTGAACTGATATATAAATATCTTCAGCTTAGGTCGTACATTACATATTAGAAACGTTTAAATTCGCCAGCAAATCTATATCATAAATTATCCGTTAATATTCTTTAGCTTTTACTCGAATATTGTTTAAATAGCATTATGGAAACTTTCAAAATGATGAATTAATTAATTAAATACAATTATTCTTATGATACTGTAAAAAAAGAATATTGTTTTTATAATATTTCATTCATCCTATCAATACAGATAGTGATAAAAATTATGTGGGTTTACAAAATCCACATATTCGACCCTTATGTAAAGTTATTTATATAGTTATGATATATTTAGCACGAAATTTTTAGCAATCTAGTTTGATATTTACCAAAATACTAAGCAAAGTGTAAATTTAATTACATACCAATTTCATTTATCTATCTGATTGTGATATATCTAATATTTAAATTTCAAGAATATTGATTTAATATTCACTAAAATAATAAGTAAAATATTATTCATATTTTAAAATTATTAGTTAGTAATTTAAATGAAATTAATACAATTTGAATTTTAAATCTATGTTTAAGTAAAAGCTATTCAATTGATTATAAAATATTAAGCAATTATAATTTAAATTATTTTTTTTTAATTAAAAGGATTTTTAATTTTATATTAAATCTGTATTAATATTTATTTTAAATGATTTGCTAATAATTTTAAAATGTAATACTATTCGATTTACATTCTGTTTATTAATAATAAATATAAATTCAATAATTAAAGATTTTATTGTTAAATATTCATAAATATAACTATACATAAGAGTTAATTATATGTATAAAATGTTAATTTTGTTTAATTAAACATTAATAAAAGTATTTAAATGATTTTAATTTCTATCTTTATACTATTTTTTATTAGATTATCTAATATATAAATTTTATATACAATAACTTTTAATAGTATATTACAAAATCCTTATTTAGTACTTTTAATATTTTTAATTTGTTTTTAAGTAATAGTAAATAAAAAAATAAAAAAATACATAAATACAAACTTTATTTATAAAATGCTAAATCAATTTTATTTCTTTTATATCTGCTAATTTAGTAATATTTGTTATATTTAGAATTGAAGTCTTATAAACAAATGTTTACAATTATCTGAATGTATGATTATTGATTTCTTTTATAACATGTATTTATTATAATATTGGTTCAACTACTTTAAATAAATAATTTGTTATATATTGATTAATATTATTTTAAGTTAAAATATTTACTAATAAATTCTTATATTTAATATATTAAAACTTGTTTTTTAACCAAAAAAAATTCATATTAATTTTATTTTAATAAAAAAAAAATATTTTAAATCAATTATATTTAGTAGAATAAATTAGAAAATTAATTAATTATTAAATTTAAATAAAAATTTAATAAACAAATAAATTTAAGTTAAACTTTATATTTTAAAATATTTATATTAAAAATTTATATTTATTCTTAAAAAAAAATAAATATATTCTTATTTATATATCAAAAACATTTTTATAAAGTAAGATAACTAATTACTATATTTATATTATAGTAATTTATAAAAAAAAAAAAAATCCTAAAAAAAAATATAGATTACATTTAAAAAAATTATATTAAACATATAAAATAAACTTATTTTAAGTAGTTTTTTCCATTTCTATTATAAAATATATATATATTTTTTAATATATTGATATTTAATTTATTGATATATTTACAAAAATAAATCATTTTTTATGAAATAATTTTTTATTATTAATATACATTACTATTTGTTTTTAATTTTTTTTATTTTTTTTTACTTAAGATAGATCTACAATTACTAGATTATAACCAATTATAAAATCATAATTATAAGAATTATAATATAAAAGTTTACAACCAACTTGCAATTTTTAGGTTATAGTCAGTTATATTTTTTTCAAATCTGCAATATCATCTTTAGTTATAACAATTAAATAAATTTTTAAATCTATTAATATAATTTTTATTAATATTTTATATTTATTAAATTTATAAAATTAAATACATTAGAGCTTTGCAATAGAAAGAAAGAAAACTCTAAAAAAATTAAAATTTTATTATAAGCTAAATATGATTTTTTTAGTTAAATAGATTCAGATTTAATATTAGTAAATCAATTAATTAAAGTTTACAAAACTTTTTTATAAAATAATTGAATATATATGGTAAAATAATATTAATAATATATATAATTAATTTATATAATTGCTTTTTTTTACTATTAAAAAAAACAAATGTAATTAGGTTTTTTAAATTGTATATTATCCTTTAGATTATAGGGTTTCATAAGCAAATTTGCCTACTTATTTATTATAAATTTTCTTCTGATTTACTTTTATGAATAATTAATATTTTTAAAAAAAATTTTTTAAATTAATTATATAAATATGTAATATATTATAATAAGTTTATCTTTAATTATATAATAAAAAATGTAATGTTACTTAAAAGCTAAAAATTTGTAATTTTTAAAAAAAATTTATTTTAAAA